CCGGGCGATAGCGGCCTTGGCGGTGATCGTCGAGGATGAGGAGAAGGATAAGAAGAGGATAATCCATGATGCCACCCGTGGCGTCAAGGTCAACAACCGGATAAAATGCCGGGATAAGCTTCTAGCTCCAGGAGCCAGAGAGAAGAAGCAGCTGCTACGGGAGCTAGAGACGGAGGGCGAGGTTGCCAACACCGTCGTGGGCGATATCTCCAAGGTTAGCGGCGATACAAGCACCAGGCTAGCGAGCAGGAGGAGACGGTTCCGGGTGACCCGGATAGTCAGATCGTCTATGTCAACAAGGCGGGCAGCTTTGGGCTATCTCCGGCGAGCTGCTGGTGGACCAGGATAGCTGCCTGCGGGAGACGGCGAGGACCAGGCTATCCCATGCGAATGCTCCTCTGTGCCGACGACCTGGAATCGGCCAAGGAGACAGGGAAGAGCTACCTCTTCCTCTCGATCCTTGGCTATATCGAGGGTGGCTACTGTGTGGAATGGCTCGGGATGGAGACGGACTACACCGGCTACCGGCTGGGGATGTCGGAGAAGCGAGCCGGATGGCTAGCCAAATGTCCAGCACTGGCAAGGTCACGGCGAAGCAGATGCAGCACGGCTTGGGTCGGCTAGGTTTTGCGGAGGTTGCACTCGACTGGGACTCAACGACCTGTACGGCCACTCCGAGGGCTACCTCCACTGAGTTTCTACACGGATGCTAAGGCCGAATCCACGAGAGCATGGATAGGGGGCTATCTGGAGCTAGACTCCAGAAACCGGGACCCTGGTTTTCTCGTGAAGTGGATAGGTCATGGGCACCTTGGGCATTCTCTAAAGGAGACCCGAAAAAGGTGATAGCAGCGCTAGAGTTGCTAGCGACCCTTCTGGGTCCCGGAGGGCGAGGATAGGAAAACCTCGCGAGTTGCCATTAGGGGCTACGCGGATAACAAGTCCAATGAGTCCCTTCTGAAGAAGGCTATGACGACAAAGTATCCTTCCATGCTAATCCTGATGGAGACGGCCGAGGAGCTATCCCACAGGAACTGTGAGCTACAGCTACAGTGGATACGGAGAGATCTCAACCAGCTAGCGGACGACCTCACCAACGAAGAGTTCAAGTGTTTTGACCCTGGCTTGAAGATAAGGGGGATGAGCTCCGTTGGAGGATGCTGGACCGGCTACTCGTGCACTCCGATAGCTTCTACAAGGAGCTAGGGGTGCGAAAGCGAGAGGCACCGGCGAAGGTGTCACGTTTTAGCCGGAAGGTCCGAAGGCTAGATCCCTGGTAGCCTGAGTGGCTTCGCTTGGGGAGGGCTAGCCAAAGGCTAGCGACAATCTCCAGGCTAACTGGGATTTGTGCCACATCCATGAAAAAGGAGAGTCGTCGCACGCTACTGCTTGTTAGCTCGTTGTCGTTACTCGGCTAGTACGACTACTCTAGCTAGTACCAGCCCGGAGGTTGTTGGGGATGGCGGTGGGCTAGATGGAGTTACGACTATGTGTGCTAGCCCGATAATCTTCCCACCGAAACCATCGCAGGTGTATTCGGATAGAAACGAAGTTTCTATTGCGATCTATTGTCCTTGCTGCTAGGTGTCAGTCTGCAAGACAGGGATAGCACGACTTGGAATGGCGAGGAACCTTGTACATTTCCGTGGCCATTCTGGACAAAGTCCCCCATTTGGGGGGGTAGTTTTGAAGTACCCGCCCAACCCACCCTGGGGAGGGCTAGCCAAAGGCTAGCGACAATCTCCAGGCTAACTGGGATTTATGCCACATCCATGAAAAAAGGAGAGTCGTCGCACGCTACTGCTTGTTAGCTCGTTGTCGTTACTCGGCTAGTACGACTACTCTAGCTAGTACCAACCCGGAGGTTGTTGGGGATGGTGGTGGGCTAGATGGGCTAGTGCACTTCTTCTTCTTCTTCTTCTTCTTTTTTCTTGCTTTTGAACCTCTTTTCAGCTTTGTGTGGGCTGAGCGTTCGAACCCTAGGTTCGGAACTCTATAGTCTATGTTCGAAGAGACTATGATCGCAGCTTGGTACGCATTCATGAGGCCCTGCAAAGGAGAGGCGAGCCTGCACTCGAACTGTGTGACCTCGGAGACAACTGCGTACCGACGTTTATGAGGATAGGCTCTGCAACAAAGAAACGGCAAAGACGTCAAGCAACCCGGCCAACAAGCTCGTTTCCAAGAGCTGACTGCTTGCCACCAAGCTTGGTAATGAGACTGTGTGCATCCGCTTCAACAAGAGCAAAAAAAAAAAAAAAAAGTGTGAGTATGAAACATATGTGTGCGTTCACAACCGCCATCGGCAAGCCAAGATGAATCGAAAACTCAAGTTCGTGTTTCGACTCACCCTCTGAAATGGGCGGAGCGCAACCTCCAAAGTGTCATACTGTGGAAGACATGACTTTGTCCGTGACACTCATCTCCAAGCATGAAAGAAGGAGAGCTCCATGAAATCGGTTTGGAAGATTTCAAAGCGCAGAAAATAAAGGAAATACAGCTGTAATGTTTACTTTTGGGAAGGACGTGGGAACCTGGTCCGTTTTAGCGGCAAAGGGAGACTTTCGAAGAGAGAGGGCTTCTTAATCTGCAGGAGCCGCAAAGTTCTGCACAGTAAAGCGCGCAGGCATTATTGCACCCTCGAATTTGCTGACTGTAGGCTCGCCCATTCATGTGACAATCTTTCGGAGCTGCGACCAATCAGAATTCCTCCCTCCTGAAGATGTGCGAAAAGCACCACTCGCACTGTCTGTCATTGCCCCTCTTTATTCTATTCTGCCGGCGTTCCGCTCTGTCAGAACCTTTAGCCGCTGCGCGGCCTCGGAATCCGGCTCCACGGTCTTATGAGTTTGTCGTGTTAACTTTGCTCGGCCCTGCAGGTCCGAGTGCAGACACGATGGAAGGCGGTCTGAGCCGTTTGGCATAGGCATAGAGGTTGCAGTATCTTCTCAAAAAAAGACGTAGAGCATAGCTCGCATAGCTGAGCCTCGTACAGTAGTTCGCTGTGCCAGTGCAATCTCAGCCGTAAAAAGAAGTGAGTGCTGCTTTTTCTTTCTTGTCATGCGCTTGCATGTACTAAACTAAACATAGAGAGCGCTCGCTGTGCGTTTGTCGTTTTAGTCAGCTGTGTTTTCTTGTGGTTTGACATGTCCCGCATGGCGTCGCATTGCTGCTCAAACCTAGAAAACATGCACGCCTGCTGACAGCATTCGTCTTTTTCACCCAACCTCCACACCTGTTGGGGGCGTATCGCATAGTTCGCATAGCTGAACCTCGTAAACTCGCTACGCTCTGCGCAAACAATCAAAAAAAACGTAAAAAGAAGTGAGTGCCGCTTGTTCTTTCTTGTCATGTGCTTGCATGTACTAAACATAAAGAACAATGTAATACAATACAACAAAAATAACACAATATTGCATAACAAAAATACACCTTGATAAAACATGAACCAACATATTATTATAAGATGTGATAACATGATATGACATAATTCAACATGATGACTTTTAACACAATTACATACAATACATATGTTGATTCGATATGACTTGATATAACATAGCAGATCATAACATAGCTGTGGCTTGTGGCATCGCAGCACTTCGTGGTAGTTCATAGCACTGCATCCAAGCAATTTCTGCGAGAAAATGTGACTGAAACCGTTCAGTCCTTTCATTGCTGTCGCTAGAGTGCGCGGTAACCTGGGGAATGTACGTTGGTCTTCGCTGTAGGCGGAAGAAGTCAATGTTTTTATTCTGTTTCCAAATTGCTGCAACATGAAGTTGTTAGCTCCATTGCAGCTGTATGTCACGTAGTGTTAAATCAACCCCATTTAGCAAAGACGTTTGAGGGCTTTTTGTTGGTTATGTGTTTCGTGTTTCGTGTTTCAAACTAGATGCTTTTGCATCGGATTGTTCGTTGATCGTCCTGTAGTAAAGCGCAAGCAGTGGTTTTTCAGACGGTGTTTCGCTGTAGGTCCAATTTTGACCGTTTGGAGCTGGTTTCGAGATGAGATGGATCAAGTGCTCTTCACAGCAGCCGGTACCGTCCTCGAGTCGATTGACTTTTAAAATTCTAAACGTTCGCGAAAGCCAAGCAGAAACCGGAACGCCAAATGACGAGGTGCACTGAAAAGCTTTGAAAGCTTGAAACTTTTCCAAAAATCACACAACTTCAATGAATTCCGAAAATTCAATTCACGTTTTTTTGGGCTGATTTTGCGCAAGCTCAAAAACAAAGTATTGACATTGTAAAACTCAAGTATTGCTTCGGTCTTAAGCTTAAACCATTGAAAACTTCTTCCATTGTTTATGAATGAACATGGGGATCCAATGCGGCTTTTGCCGATAAGAAATGCGCCTCATCATTACGACGAACATTGCTGATTTTCGTATCTTGAATGATGACGAATTTGACGGATGAAAGAACGCAAGTGTTTTCATTGACAGGTTTGTTCAGAAAGCTGATAGAATTTTTAGACCATTGTTTGGAGCGCACTGATGCAGCAGATGCAACTTAGCTGACCATTGAGTGAAACGCGAAAGTGTGTCAAAACTGATTGGAGTCAAGGGCTCATAGGTGGTTGGTTTGTTTCAGATCAGTCGTTTTTTGTGTACTCGTGGTGTAAGATCAGTGTTGTTTGTGTAAAAGGTTGCGTGAAAGGGACATAATGTTGTTCTTGTCGAGACGAGCGCCTTTTTGCGAGGACCATGCTGTGCAGAGCTAGTGTTGGGGATCGGCACCTCCAACATGAAGTCTTGATACGGAGTGGCCGGAGCGGTGTAACTTCTTCGCAAGTTTTCTTTGCTGCACTTGCAGCCTTGGAGACCAGTTTTGATGTTGATGATGCAGGAATTTGTGCTACGCGGCGGTCTTCACTTCAGCAGTCGGATTGTTCGTCCACACACAATGTTGCAAGCCTGTGGCCTACAGTGAAACCAGCTTTACATGTGTTTGAACCGACAACCAGCTGCAACAAGAGAATATCATCAGCAAGTACCATGACACCTGTGCGCCGCCGTCGGCGAGCTCCAACTTCACTTTTTGTGACTTGCCAAAACAAGAGTACGCTTTCGCCCGTCGTTGCAGCGGTTGTGATCTGTCGCATTGAAGGCTGTTCTGATTTGGTCATTGTCTGCGACATGTGCAATCAGAACAAGCGAAGGTTTGTCGGATTGTTGGCAGCAGTGAGAGACTCTTGCGCTTTCGGCCTGGAGTACAATACATAGTCCAGTACTAGAACCAAGGAATTGGCTTGGGCCCGCCCTCGACTGAAGACCTCTGCCGCCGAGTTGACTAGGCGCAGACTGCGTGCTGCTCAGTTGCTCACTGCCTGGGTTGACAAGTTTTGGTGCAGACGGCGCAGCTTCATCGTTGGAGGGCAGCTTGGAACAATATGCGTCAGGGTGGAGCTTGCTCTGATAAATGCCAGTTGCTGCCCAACAGCGCAGGTTATTTGGATCATGTGGAGCACCGGTTGCAAGTTTCGCTTCGGGCAAGAAGGTGACTTGCGCAAGTGTGCATGGGCCGTGTCACTCGGTTGGAGCAGACAAACACGTGATGGCAGGACCTGAAAAGCATGGATGATTCTGCAGACCTTGATCGGCTGGGGTCAATGTTGGAAAAGAAGTGGGTTTCCGTCTCAGCCACCTGCAGAGTTCACAGCCACTGTTTTCGAAAAGGGATGAGCTTAAGGAGAAGGTGAAGCCTGCATGCACAAGTGTCGGCAGCATAGGCCGATCTTCGAAAATGAGAAGATTGCAGTTCTGTTGGGCATCTGCTGATGGCAGGTATTAAAGCCGGATATGGTGTAAGCAAGAAGGATCAACTCGAGAGCATTGTCTGCGACCATGCTTCTCGCAAGATGATGCACAGTTCTGTGGCAAGCAAGTCAAGTGGCTCCCAGGTCCGGTGTGATGAACCAGACACAAAGTCTGAGAAGAAGGATGCAGCCCGTTGACACAACTTTCGATGCAGAGCTTCATAAAGATGCTATTTTTGCGGCAGTGGATGTTGTTTGCTTAGCATGTCCAAGATGACTGCAACCATGTGATCTCGCGTTAAGCATAAACTGGGCATGGAGCAGTTCTATAGTTCCTCAACGTTCTCAGAGCTGTTGCCAAGTCGCTTCGTTTACCTCCTTTGAATCCTAATAACGAACATGAGACTCACGATACCCCTCCTCGTGGAACAAAAAAGGCAACCGGCCCCTTTCACCGAGTACCCATTCACAAAGAGCAGAGCATACAGAAGCTATGGGCCGATCAGCGCCGCTTATCACATCTGTGGTGCCTTCCGGAAAAGACTTCGATGGTAGTGCAATCAGCGCTGCGGAGGTCGACACGGTTTCTGCTGTGAGAACTTCTGACGATCGACGCAGGGCCTCGCTTGCCAGAGCACAGTTGCGGCCATGGACAAGTCCCTGCATTCGAGGAAATACATTTCAGTTTGATCTTTGTCCGAACCACACTGCCCGAATGAATCACTCTGCACCTCTGCGGTTCATGGACGAGATGAGATCTTGTGCGACGGGGCTTCGGAGATCAGCTACTGGCTTGACGTCCTGTAATGACAGTGCGCATTTCCCGCTACAGCTGCGTGAATGCCGGGGGACATGCCCAGAGACAGGGCGAAGCAGATCCAGCTCTTCTAGACATGTTGCACGTCATGGAACAGGACCCATTGCAGTGCAAGTGGTCAGCGGGGATGCGGGATGCTGTGTTTTGGCTCAGTCTGCTAGCTGAGCAGGCCGCGGCAGTTGCTGCTTGTCAGCTGACAGGAAAGCAGCATGGCTGGTTGAGGACTCCTTTCGAGAGCGCCGAGGTCCATCAGTTGCTTCGTCGGTTTGCTCACCGGAGAACTGTACGAAGACATGTTCTGCTACCCTAAAATCCTCAAAACCGTTCCGTGACCGTTCACAGGTATCCGAGCTAGGTGAAGCAATGAGGGTCTGGTCCCAAGATGTTTGCTGGAAGTGCAGCCCACAATAGCATGAGCCCAAGGAACGCAGTTGTGATCCTCCTTGTTGTTGTCCTTGCTGCTGTTTTCCGTTCTCTAGACAGTTCTTGCACAAGGAATTGTTCAGTGCCTGCGACACGTCAGAAGATGGGCAAATCGATCTTTCAGAGTTTGCGCTGAGCTCAGGTGTGCTTTTAAGTCACACGTTAGACGAGAGTCGGAATTGAGATATCATCCTTTGGGATGATAGTATGAGTCGTATGATGCTTTCCTGCAAAATTGGGAGATCAGGTTCAAGCGCAGATGCACCTGGCTGAAGCACTTGGAGCTTGCAACCCAGCACCTCGTGGTACCAACGATGAGACGCTTCTGTGCGTCGTGGCCTAGCTCGCTCTGTTTCGGTAAGGACGTCTTCGATAGGCGTGTCGCCACTCATCGCTTCTATTCCATGCAGAATGCAAGGTGATCCCGCGCTTTGTTGCAATACATATCCCGAATCGTTCACGTTGCGAACTGTGATAGAATGAAGTGCTTGACCAAGTATGCAAGAGCATGGAAGCGTTTGAGACGGCCAGGCTTGGCAGAGTCTCATTTTCGGGCTTCTTCCGCGCAGAAGTCAAACGGTTGCAGGACCGCCAACCGTTTCTGTTCCTTCAGAGAGTTCAGAGAGAAAGCGTGTCGACGGGCAAAACTTGCGAGGGCCAGGGGCATCCAGGCATGGTGGTCTCTGTTGCGAGCGGCATTTGCCTTGCTATGGCTTCAGCACACAATTACGGCTTTGCCCTCCTAAGCAGCAACCGCACGCCGCATGTTAACCCCATGGGCAAGACGATGAGGGCTTCTAGGGGTTGCAAGAAGGTCCAGTACTCTTGTTTTGCACGTCTTCCGTACTACCTGTGACCATATGACATCATTCCATGCATGTGACGTAGCCAGGGCTTGCACGGTTGTGTTTTCAGGGAGTGGACAAGGTGTATGTCCGGCAGGACGACGCAGACGTCAATGGTGGCTGATGCCTTAATGGCTTGCGAAGCATGTTCCCGAGGTGCCTGCGTGCTTGACATGAGTTCGGCCCCAGACGTGAAGCTTGACTTGAGGATACGCAGGGAGACCTCGCTCATGCACAAGCTAAGTGGCAAGTGTACTTGTGGCTGAATGTGCTTTGGACTGAGGCCCGCCACGGGCCGAGTGGCCCAAAAAGCTGCTTTGGTGTGTGTGGGATCCCAGCTGCTTCAAAGTTATGGTATTATTGTGTCTTGGCCGTGCGACTGGGCGAAGTTGGGAGTTCCCTGCGATGCTCCGAGTATGATGGTGGCTCCACAGCCAGCTCAGTATGCAGTGACGTGAGCACGACCGAGGCCAGTCAAATCCGGCTCGGCCAGCGCCACCGCCATGTGCAGGTCTTTGCAGGGTACGGAGAATGGGATGTGGATTTTGCTCGAAGAGCGTGCAATCAACTTACGAAAATCCTACAAACTGCAAATGACTTTGAAATGATCAGCATGTTGTGCATCTTGGGTCGCCTAGGCAAAGGAAGGAGGAGGCATGGCCCATGTCAGCGTAGAGATCAGTTGGTGCAGAAGCAAGGTGTGGTTCATGGCCGGAAGAAACGGTCCAACGTGTGCACTGTAGCTGTAGCAGTCTCGGCGAATGAGCCTCCTCATTGAATATGACATGTCTTGTCAGGTGTGACGGATGCCAACAGCATCTTGGTTTTACTTGCTGTGGCAGGGGTTTCGACAGTGTCTAACCTCGACATCACGGTGGTGGAGCATTGCACTTTATTCTTCTCTGCTTCAGGCCCTTTGCTGAGCCTCCCACATTTCACTTCCACTCTCCCTGAAAGGGAGCGACCAGTGATCAATGAATCACAACACTTGAGGGACAGGTCAGTCACATTCAGTCACCAAAAGTCGACAGCTTTGGATTGAGACGAGGTGCACTTTCAGCATGGCATTCAGGTTTGCTGATCAGGCACCGTGTATGGGTACAGCTCAACAGTGGTACAGCTGCTGCCATCCTTCAGCATGAGGACGCGGACGCAAAGGGCGGAGAGAGGTCTGCGCCTTTACATCTGTTGCAGTAGAGAAGAATGTTCACAAGATTCATAAAGATGCTGCAAGTAACCACATGCTTCAAGTCATGTTTTGCATCCTTCATGTATTTTGAGGGTATCAGTTTTCGGGTTTAATACCTCTTGCCCCATGCTGTGGGTCTGAAGACACCAGTCATGTGATTGGGTCAAAGTTTTGTTTCACATCCCTGTGTCTTGTGTTGGTTTTTACATGGTTTAACATTTTGCCCCCAGCATTTGTGACCGCTGGGCCGTTGGCGGTGAGGTTTTGTTCCCCGCATCCGTGATGACCGGAGCGATGTCCTTCAAGTGAACGTGCTTGACCCCTTATTGAACGACCTTGGCTGTGCATCAGTGCTTGAGAGAACCGCGCCTGGCAGCCGGTGATACTGACATAAATGACGAAATGGACAATCCAAGCATGGACCAGAAGGATCCAAGCTAAAGGAATGTATATGTCGTCATGAAACCGCACTAACAGACCAACACTACTATTCCATCGCATCGACGGCAGTTAGCGATGCGCCTGAGCTCAACATACCAGCCGATACCTTCCAGTCTCACTGGGACAGGCCTTCCGTCCGTCCGTCTGTCTGTGTGTCTGTCTGCTGCGCTTGCATCAACAACATATTCAAGAATGCGTGCAGTGCCTGCCTCCTCCATCGAATTCGGTCTGTGGATCGTCATGCAGATCTATGGTTCAAGACCAGGAAGGGTAGAGCATCCAGACCGGACTGCAAATTCTCGGCATCACGATAGCCCAGGAGCTTCAACTCTGTCATTACATGTTTGTTTTTAAATTTGCGTCCATGCAGGATGCTGTTGTGGGAATACCTGTACTGGGCGGACATAACGATTCCGGTAGACCCGATCAACTGGGAGCTCAGCCGCGAGGCCACAGTCCGAATAACCATTGTGTCGCTTGTTCGACTGGGTGCTGTGCTGTAGTGACTGTAGTGTAATGTCACTGGCTTGAGCTCTGTGAGGAAAGGAGACGGCAGATGGACGAAACCATGTTGAAGGTGCTGCAGGGCGTCCACGACAAGGCCCGTGCAGCCAAAATTGACCGAACACACAAGTTCGGACCAGCATCCTGACCCGGGCAGGCCGCGTGGCAGCGAAGAACAGCTCTTGGTTTCTTCCAAGCGGCGGCCCCAACTGTCAGTGCCAGTCGTCTGCGTTGTCGCTGCGCACACCTCCGCTCGCTTGCCAGGCCATGGGCGATTTGTTCTGCTGCACAGCATCACCGGTGGACGCAGACGAGCTGCGGCTCTGAGCGTAGGTCGCTTTGCTATGAAAGCTAACCCCCCCCACCTTCTTTGCTCATACAACCTTCATCATATACTTACTTGACTTACTTGTCGTGCAGTTCAGCAGGATGTCGGTCGGAAGTACTTCCGCCGAGGATGCTGGACGAAGCCAAGACCGTCGTGCAGGCCAAGAAGATCCAAGGAGGCTCGGGGCGAGGGAGCGCGTACGTGAGATGCAGAGGCATGTGTCCACAAGTGGCAGCAGCCTTGTGCGTGGCAGTTTCGAAGGTTGTAGAAAGCTTTGACTTCGGCTCAGGCGGATGGCCTGCAGGTAGCCGGAGCGGTGCATTTTCGCCTCCCCTGGCGGGATGCGCTGCTGTGTCCGACCACAAGGCGGGGCAGAGAGGAAGCCCTATATCTGGTCGGCTTCCTTGCGCGGCCTGCCGATTTCACGTTTTTCTCCGGCTCGGTGGTCCCCTCCCCTCCCCAATAGCTTGACAGAAAACACCGCGGGCGCTTGTCCTGTCACCAGAAGAGACTCCAGTTCGGGGAAGCACAACACAACGCATCCCGGGCATACCTTCTGATGCGTGAACCCTTTGCAGGCGGCGCTGTGATGTGGGCCGACCGAGTGCAGGCCCCAGTAGCTTTGATGCGAAGCTCACGGATTGGAGGTCCCGCATGGGGCCTTTGCACCGCGGAGAAGAGAGAAGAGCTTCAGGCCAACGCGCTCCTGCTCGCTTGCGACAACCTCTTCGTGGAGGGCTCAGCTGTTGCAGGATCTTGTACCTGTGCTGGGCTGAAGCTGCCGTTGCACAGGTCACAAGTCAAAATCAGATTCAGCTTTCAGTGATTCTGAGGCCTTGTGTCGGGCGCGGGCGCGGGAAGCCGCGGAGGCGAGCTGTACATGACTAGTGTGAATTGTCGTGCACCCTGGTCTTCGGCTGACAAGACAATGCGGCGATGGAGACATTGACACGGTAGCAGCACTGCCAGGATGCCTTTGGATCGCCTTCTGCTGCTTCTGTAATGTGCCTCTGTCAGGACTTGGCATGAAACTCCCCCCCATGACACCTGCAGGGACCTCATACAGGTGTTTAGAGCAGCTTGTAAAGCGCCACTCGCCGTGACAGCTAAGGTCAGATGGCATGCTCCTCTGGGCGATTTGCATCGCATCGAGTCCGGGACCTGGCTCTTGGCGACGGTGCGAAGACTGCTGCCCCTGCCGCTGAACGAAGGCTGGACTCGAGGAGGATGAAGGCCGACCGCGGATAGGGCACACCGCTGCGGCCGGAGCAAAACAAACCCAGCACACTCCGGACTCTGCATTGCAGTGTGCTCCTTGTGGTCATACCGTGTTGTGCATGGCACGTTGCCTCACATCAATCTGGAAATCGACGCTGGAGCAAGCAGCAAGATGGATAACAAAAGCTCCGAGCCGTTGCCCCCGCCGGCGCCACAGCCACAGCCAGCGCCTTAGTGAGTGCCTTTTTCCTCTTTGACAATTGGCAGTCGGTGCTGAGTTGAGGACCTGGGGGTTTTGGGAATGGCTCGCGTTTGCATGCTGCCTCGGCCTTAGGTGGACGCAGGTTGTTGAAGACCCACCCATCCACCCACCCGCCCACCCATCCACCCACCTTTCCACCCGCCACTCCCTCCCTTCGCCCTGTGCCTGTGGAACAAGTGGCTCACTGCTTATTTTGAAACTTGAGAATTCTTGGAGTGAGAACACGGCAAAGCCATTGAAAGACCGCAAGGCTCCTCACTCTGCGGCGACTTGTGGGAGGGCCTCACCTCACATCACCCACCCCACCTCACCCCACCCCACCCACTCATTCGGCTCCGAAAAACCGCTTTGATCGCCGGCTGGCCGTCAAGCTTGAAGCACACCGCACGACCATCAAGCTTTGCAAACCTTACGATGCCTTACAAGCTCCGTGGTCAGGTAAGATACGCTGTGACGCGTTGATGTACTGCCTTGGTTGGAGTTGATGTCCAGTGTTCAGGATACCCACCCCACCCCGCCCACACCACCCTCGCACCCCTCCCATCGCACCGCCTCCGTTGCTTCGAGATGCAGCTCCTTAGCACTCGCCTGCCACTACCTGCCGAGGCTACTTCCAAGACCAGTACGAGCGGGGTTTGGAAGAATCGTTCGACATGCCTCGCAGCCAACGCGAAGAGAGGCGCCGATGAAGAGGAGAGCCGCAGAGAAGGAAGTCGTGGATGGCATGCCGGCTTCGGCCAATGATGTGGGCATGCTCATCCTCGCGTGGGAGTTTGTCAAACCGACAGGCTTAAAGTTCCAAGGTGACGACACAAGTGGTACGGCCTTCGGCTTCAGCAAGGGCGTTGCCGCCCAATCCATTGATGAAAGCATGGTGCTGCCCCACCGAAGCAGCTTCGCTGGCTTCGCAAACTTGGATGATGGCAAATGGACATGGGGCACCTGCTCATCGTGTTGGGATGAAAACACGATCCAAGGCAAGGATTGTGAAAGCTACACTACGACCGAAAAGGTACCCGTCGGAGACGTTTTTGTTCAAGGAAGTGGCGAATGCGATCAGCTAGGTTTGGGCGATGAGAGGCGGAAGCCAAAGAAGCCCATGCTCTTCAAGTCTCTGATCAGGAACAGCATTCGCGAAATCGCAGTCGGTGGCAGGCACGTTCTTTGCCTTTCCACAGCGAGAGCTGTTTACAGCTGGGGCTGCAACGATGATGGAGCCCTGGGCAGAGCTCCTTCCAATGGTTCGGACGGTGGCCCGTCGGATGTGGAGCCGCAACTGGTGACGATGCCAAGTGGAGTCGCAGGTCATGTTTCGCGTGGAGACTGCCACAGCTGTGGGTCTGGTTAGGGGGAACGTACAAGGATGACGCAGATGTGGAGCAGCTGAGACCCTACCAAGTGTCTTCGAAACAGCTGCAGACGCGCTTCGTGATTGTAGATGGGGGAGCTCAGCATTGCGGGAGCTGCCATGGGGCGGCGAGTACAACACGCTTCGGGAAAAGCACATGCGAAATTGCAGTTCAGTGCCATGGACGTTCTTTGCTTTTCCGCATGGGGAGCTGTGTCCGGCTGGGGCTGCGACGATGATGAGCTGTGCCTTGGATGAGCGAGGTCTGGTTCTGGGGAACGTGCAAGGATTCCAACGCCATTTTGGCACAAGCGCAAGCACGAAACACGGAGGCAGCTTTTGATGAGGACGGTTCGATTGAGTGAAGGTCTGTCCGTCCGCATCGAACCGAGAATTATTAGGCTGCCTATTGCATGAACAAAAGACTTCCGCTCTGCTTGTTTGGGTGTCCTTTCGGGCAGCCGAGGGTTTCTAGCTTCTTGCCATTTCCGGGCGGTATGTGATTGGATTCGTACGATGAACTCGTTGCCGGATTCGGCCGGCCTAGGGCTTGAACTACGGGGTTCTATTCTGACGCTGTGAGTTTGTTGTTAGCCTATGGTGTTGGTTGGTCAGGATGTGACAGTCTCTGTTTTGCGATGGACCTTATGCCGAGCAAAGGCGTTGGATGCAAGATCTAATTGCAGAGAAGATGATCAAGTTTGGTGGCGGGTTCCTTGTCGAGGTTGAAGGCCAAGAACCTGTGTACATTGCAGCGGTTTCTTCCCGGTAATGTGATCCAAATTCATCAAGGTCAAGTGGGAGGGACTGGGGAATGTGGCGGTCGTCATGAAACCGCACTAACAGACCAACACTACTATTCCATCGCATCGACGGCAGTTAGCGATGCGCCTGAGCTCAACATATCAGCCGACACCTTCCAGTCTGACTGGGACAGGCCTTCCGTCCGTCCGTCTGTCTGTGTGTCTGTCTGCTGCGCTTGCATCAACAACATATTCAAGAATGCGTGCAGTGCCTGCCTCCTCCATCGAATTCGGTCTGTGGATCGTCATGCAGATCTATGGTTCAAGACCAGGAAGGGTAGAGCATCCAGACCGGACTGCAAATTCTCGGCATCACGATAGCCCAGGAGCTTCAACTAGGTCATTACATGTTTGCTTTTAAATTTGCGTCGATGCAGGATGCTGTTGTGGGAATACCTGTACTGGGCGGACATAACGATTCCGGTAGACCCGATCAACTGGGAGCTCAGCCGCGAGGCCACAGTCCGAATAACCATTGTATCACTTATTCGACTGGGTGCTGTGCTGTAGTGACTGTAGTGTAATGTCACTGGCTTGAGCTCTGTGAGGAAAGGAGACGGCAAATGGACGAAACCATGTTGAAGGTGCTGCAGGGCGTCCACGACAAGGCCCGTGCAGCCAAAATTGACCGAACACACAAGTTCGGACCAGCATCCTGACCCGGGCAGGCCGCGTGGCAGCGAAGAACAGCTCTTGGTTTCTTCCAAGCGGCGGCCCCAACTGTCAGTGCCAGTCGTCTGCGTTGTCGCTGCGCACACCTCCGCTCGCTTGCCAGGCCATGGGCGATTTGTTCTGCTGCACAGCATCACCGGTGGACGCAGACGAGCTGCGGCTCTGAGCGCAGGTCGCTTTGCTATGAAAGCTAACCCCCCCCGCCTTCTTTGCTCATACAACCTTCATCATATACTTACTTGACTTACTTGTCGTGCAGTTCAGCAGGATGTCGGTCGGAAGTACTTCCGCCGAGGATGCTGGACGAAGCCAAGACCGTCGTGCAGGCCAAGAAGATCCAAGGAGGCTCGGGGCGAGGGAGCGCGTACGTGAGATGCAGAGGCATGTGTCCACAAGTGGCAGCAGCCTTGTGCGTGGCAGTTTCGAAGGTTGTAGAAAGCTTTGACTTCGGCTCAGGCGGATGGCCTGCAGGTAGCCGGAGCGGTGCATTTTCGCCTCCCCTGGCGGGATGCGCTGCTGTGTCCGACCACAAGGCGGGGCAGAGAGGAAGCCCTGTCTCTGGTCGGCTTCCTTGCGCGGCCTGCCGATTTCACGTTTTTCTCCGGCTCGGTGGTCCCCTCCCCTCCCCAATAGCTTGACAGAAAACGCCGCGGACGCTTGTCCTGTCACCAGAAAAGATTCCAGTTCGGGGAAGCACAACACAATCATACCTTCTGATGAGTGAACCCTTTGCAGGCGTCGTGATGTGGGCCGATCGAGTGCAGACCCCAGTAACTTTGATGCGAAGCTGAATGAGTACGAATTGGAGGTCCCGCATGGCCTTTGCACCGCGGAGAAGAGCGAAGAGCTTCAGGCCAATGCGCTCCTGCTCGCTTGCGACAACCTCTTCGTGGAGGGCTCAGCTGTTGCAGGATCTTGTACCTGTGCTGGGCTGAAGCTGCCGTTGCACAGGTCACAAGTCAAAATCAGATTCAGCTTTCAGTGATTCTGAGGCCTTGTCTCGGGCGCGGGCGCGGGAAGCCGCGGAGGCGAGCTGTACATGACTAGTGTGAATTGTCGTGCGCCTTGGTCTTCGGCTGACAAGACAGTGCGGCGATGGAGACATTGACACGGCAGCAGCACTGCCAGGATGCAGCCTCAATGAGGGAATGCAGTGTCGCGAGTGTTGCAGCGCTGTATCAGGCAGGTCTCACAAGCAGCTCCGCGATCGTGATGCAAGAAACGCTGAGCAAGGCCTCAAGGGGGCTTCGAGTCGCCTTTGGATCGCCGTTTGCTGCTTCATCAATGTGGCTCTGTCAGAACTTGGCATGAAACTCCACGCGGCGCGCTAGAATTTAGGATATCTCATTAGGCTTACAGAGGTATTGGCTGTGAAAGACTGGGTGGGGGTTGTGCCGGTGGCGGCGGCGGCGGTGGTGGCGGTGGTGTTGATGCTGGCTGTGTTGATGTTTTGGTGCCGCTGGTGGTGGTGCTGCTGCACTCGCACGATGATGCCTGACACATTCAAGGGCACGCCAGGTGCGCGTACAATGATTTCCGAAAGTTCGCTCGCCCGAAGCTTGGGAGCAAGCCTGCAAGTTGGAACGCTGCGATGAGCTTGACGAGACCAGAGTTACTGGCGAGCAGGTGCCTGTTGCTACAGTGACGTACCTCGTGCCTGCCAGGCAGTTCCGCGAAGCCTTGACTTCCTTAGCTCTGCTTCTGTGGCAGGCAACCAGGTAGCCAGGCGTTCATTGGGGCTTAGCAGGAACGGAGGCATAGGTGGATTTGGGTTCTGAAGACTGAACTTCACAGCAATGTATAACCTCACTATAGCACTTTGAGAGAAGCTTGATGCATTCTGCTGATGTTGTGGCCACAGAGTGGGCACGTCGCGCCCTGAGCAGTGGTTCAGCGACTACTCGCCACTTGCGATCTCGGCCATGAGCGCAACTCCAGAAGGAAATGCTTTGGCCATGCGCGAAACGAAGGCCACCTCCTTTCAGAGGTGATAAGGTGAGCGAAGTCTTGGTCGAGCGTTGCTCATGCGGTAGCTCACAAGCCCTGCAGCTGACAACTAGACAATGCGTGTGCACGACATCCACCGCAAAGACAAGGTCAGAACCACAACAGGTGTGCATGGCAGCATGCATTGCATTTGCAGCAGCGCCCCTGCAACCTCGGAAAGCGTCGGACGGTGTCTACTTATTCGTGACTTCAGTTTGCGAGTGATGCACTTGCGACGGTGACCGACAGCACCAGGAGCTCGAGCAACAACACGACATGGCGGTGTTGGGCATTTAGTACCCCTGTCTGTGAGGCCCGCAATGGTCTTGGAAGGGCGCGAGGTTTATTGCATAGTCCACAAACATGAGAACATTAACCGGCTTGGCCAAGGCTCGACCAAGCCTCTTCTAGCCAATTTTGTTGCCACTATCCACGAGACAGCACGCACCGCTCACATGCAGCCGAGTGTTCTGCTAAAGCGAGCCTAATGTTAAAGAATACAGCCCGCAGCCTCGCGGGCCCATGGATTCAACGATCTGTCTCGTGAACACGAGGCATTCCCGAGATGCCCAAGTGAATTCTACAGTGTTCGCCAGGAGTTCGCCGCTTTGATGGTGAAGTCCTGCAGTGCTTTCTAGCGACGAGCACAGTTTTCTGTGGATATGATTGCTAGTTGCCAGGCAGGTTTCAGCTTTTGTTACGGTTTTTGGGAGAGATGCTTGCTTGAAATGCCTCTGCCAAGCTCTGGAAGCTGCCTGGAAAGTTGACATCCTGCAGCTCTTGTTAGGAGCTTATGCAGTGACGGCGTGTGCAGAGTTTCACCCGTCGTCGTCATGATTTGCTACTTGTAGCAAGGAAAGTGTGGTGGTCTTGAAGAGCGAGACTACACTTACATATTTCAAGCCTGGTGCTCCGAGCTGTGCTCAGGAAAAGATGCGGCAAGTGAACCAGTCTCGAGAACCGGGCTTCTGACCCTTGGAGGGACGGAGAACAGGTTGGAGGGCAAGACACGATCTTGTGCACAATCTGAGTTTCGCAGGCACGCAGCTTCTGAGGGGTCCTGAAGCTCTCGTCATCTTTAGACAATTTGAATGTCCCAGCTTCTTACCAGCTGGGGCGGCTGCATTTGGCTGCCGACGACACTCTTCGTAGGTGGTTTAGCGTAGAGTATTGAGCCTTGAGCCAACAAAGGGTTGGGAGAAGTGTCCGCGCAGTCCGGCAACATGGCACTGATGGCAGCTGTGATGAGTGCCTGGTTGCTGCCCTTCACGCAGGCGCCACATCATGCTGCTCTGTGATCAAAAATGTGCAGAGGGTAATTGACTGCCGACAGTTCCTTCAAGAGAGAGAGAGCAGGTCGCTGGACTTGTTCCGGGCCCCTGGTCAGATCCATCCTTGGGCTCGCATGAACGAGCCCACCTGCCTTGGGCCCAACTACATTTCCGTTGCGACGACCCAGTGGCCTGAGCACCGAGGCTGGTTGCCAACATGACTCTGACCGAAAAGCTGCAAATGCTGCACGGGTCGGAAGATGGACGA